AGTCACACCTTGAGGGGACACAGTCACACCTTGGGGGACACAGCCACACCGATGCCAGCAGTGCCACCCTCTCCCCGGTGCAGTGACTGAGGACAGGCAGAGTGGTCATTCGGGTCATTTCCAGCACCAGGAGCGTTCCCGGTCAGAATTCCCGCTGTGCCCAGGCCACATCCCTTCATCCCCGGGTGGAGGCACCAGGAGCGGCCGCGGTGGCACCGGGAGGGGCAGAACCGTGCGCTGACACCTCCCGAGGTGTTTGTTTGCTGCCCTGCGGCCCGGCGGCACCGCGGGCCATAGATAAGGCTTTGCGTGATGCCGCGATTTTGTTTTTTTCATGTCTGACGCCTCGGGAAGGTCACCCGGAACTTTGAACTTCTGGGGTTTATCAGGTCGGCTTTGAAGTGGCTGAAGCCACTGAGTTACTCTCGGTCCCGGCTCCGCGTTAATGGGGTTTCTGCTTCCAAACAGGAAAAATTGAGGTTTTTCTAAATTCATTCTGCAGCTTTTTTAGGCACTTTCTAGTGTCTTTATTTTAATCCGCGCATATTCAATAAAATAATTTAATTCCACCCAGCTTCAGCCACGGGCTGGGTTAGGTGGGCTTTTAGGGACATGATTTAGTGGAATCCAAATGGAATTCAGTGATGACGATCTCAGARGGCTTTTYCAGCCTGAATCCTTGATTCCGTGGTTCTTTGGCACTGCTGCCTGTCCTTGGGATGTGTTTCGGGCAGGACCCGCTCTCTGCCCGCCCCTCACGGGGGGTTTGGGATGCAAATCCTCCCTCTCCAGCAGAGTCGGGGATTTAGGGTGAGTTTGGGGTGCTGATTCTAAAAACAACGAGGGCAGCTCTTCTGCAGGAGGGTCGGGATGGGCTCAGTGTGGTGACCAGCATCAGAATGGGGTTTTAATGATTTTTAGTGATTTTTTTAGTGATCTTTAGTGATTTTTTTGGTGATTTTTGTCGTTTCAACGAGCGAATGAACACCTGCAGAGGCAGCAGAACGGCTCAGAAATCTCTCTGGTGGTCAGGAAGGGCGATGTGGGGCAGGAGAGCTCAGGTTTGGATCCTCAGCAGCCGCCACGGGCCGGGCTGAGCTCAGGAACTCAGTTGGCCGCTCAGGAACTCACTGAGTCACACACAAGGCAAATATTTTTCCCCTTTGATTTTCACCCTGAGAAAAATCCGGAGCTGACCTTGTTAATCCCACGTGTCGCAAACCTCCCCCCGTTTTTTTTATCAAGTTTCGGGATAGTGTTACCAGCTCGGCACCTCTGGCCGCTGCTGCCAGCATCCTGCCTGGCACCGTGCCACCCTGCCCGGCCTCCTGGCATCCCCGAGCCGCCCCGGGCTACCCGGCCAGCAGCACACCCTGCCTGCGAGGGACGGAGCGAGAGGAAAAGCTGGATAGCCCAGCGCGGCGCTGCGGGGGCTGTCAGCCGGAATTTCTGAGGGTGGGGATGTCGCTGGAGGTTCTGGCAGCTCCCGAGGGTCGTGGTATCGCTCACAGCCGTGATTGGAGCGGTGTTGTGGGGATGCACGAAGCGCTGGGTGATGCTCGGGGTGAGCGGAGCAGCTCAGGGGCTCTGGGCCGGCTTTTCCTCCCCAGGGTGCGGCTCCCACCGAATCCTCCTCCTGTGTCCCTCCCCAGGGTTTAGGGGACCCTCAGCCGGGGCTCAGCTCCCACCGGGTCCCRCTCCTGCCTCTCAACACCCACAGCATCCCTGGGATGGTGCCAGAGCTGCGCATTTGAGCCCTGGGTGCCCAAACTGCGGCTCTCTGGGGTAAAACACAGCAGGTTTGTGTTTGCCGGTGCTGGGCAAAGGGTGGGATCGGAAAAAAAAACATCGCTGCTGGCACGGGCAGCGCTCAAACCCCGGGTTCGAATAGTCCTGGTGGGATCGGAAAAAAACCATCGCTGCTGGCATGGGCAGCGCTCAAACCCAGGGTTCGAACAGTCCTGGTGGGATCGGGAAAAAACCATCGCTGCTGGCA